AGGGCCAGCTGTGCTGCCCTGTTCTGAGCCAGTCCCTCTTAACCTCTTCTTAACCTGACCACACGACTGAAGAGTACGTAGTCCAGGTGCGACAAAACTAGGGCTTGTAAGACCTGCCTTGTTGACGATGTTGTCAAGAAGGCAGAGCAGTGCTTTATTACGGACAGACTTCTCTACATTTTAGCTACTGTTTTGACCATGACAGTTTACAATCCAGGGTTACTCCAAGCAGTTTAGTCACCTCAACTTGCTCAATTTCCACATTATTCATTACAAGACTTGGGAGGTTTTCCAATGCCTCGCAAAGAAGGGCACCTATTATGTATGTATGTGTATATATATATATGTGTGTGTGTATGTATATATATATATATATATATATATATTAAAGCTGATCTACCCCTAAAAGATTAAAAAGAAAAACTATATGAAAAAAAGTATTATTAAAAAATAAGGGCACCTATTGGTAGATGGGTAAAAAAATTGCTTATACTGAATATATCCCTTTGAGCTTGGTGAAGTTATTAATTACACTTTGGATACACTCTGACACTACAAAGATACAGGCGTCCTTCTTAACTCAGTTGCTCGAGAGGAGGGAAACCGCTCAGGGATTTCACCATGAGGCCAATGGTGACTTTTAACACAGTTACAGAGTTTAATCTGTGATCAAAGAAAACTGAGGATGGATCAACAACATTGTAGTTACTCCTCAACACCAACCTAATTGACAGAGTGAAAAGAAGGAATCCTGTATAGCATGGCTCTCCAACCGTGTTCCTGGAGAGCTACCGTCCTGTAGGTTTTCGCGCCAACCCTAATCTAGCACACCTAATTCTAATAATTAGCTAGTTGATAAGCTGAATCAAGTTAGTTACAACTGGGATCAGAGTGCAAACCTAAATTAGGGTAAATCTCCAGAACTCTGCTGTACAGAATACAAATATTCCGAAACATGCATCCTGTTTGCAACAAGGCACTAAAGTAATACTGCAAAAAATTTGGCAAAAAAAAATAAAGTGTTCTGTCTGAGACAAATACAACACATTACTGAGTACCACTCTCCATATTTTCAAGCATAGTGGTGGCCTGCATCATGTTATGGGTATGATTGTAATTGTTAAGGACTGGGGAGTTTTTCAGCATAAAAAAGAAACTGAATGGAGCTAAGCACAGGCAAAATCCTAGAGGAAAACCTGGTTCAGTCTGATTTCCACCAAACAAGGCCAAATCTATACTGGTTGCTTACCAAGAAGAAAGTGAATGTTCCTGAGTGGCCGAGTTACAGTTTTGGCTTAAATCTATTTGAAAATCTATGGCAAGACCTGAAAATGGTTGTCTGGCAATTATTAAAAACCAGTTTCACAGAGCTTGAAGAACTTTGAACATAATAATGGCCAAACATTGCACAATCCAGGTGGGGAAAGCTATTAGACACTTACCCAGAAAGACTCAGTTGTAATTAATCGCTGCCAAAGGTGCTTCTACAAAGTATTGACGCAGGGGCTGTGAATACATATGAAGACACTGAATATCTTTGTACTACTCTTCATTTCACTCTGAGCGTCTTGTGCCATCTAGCGTCCATGAGATGCAATCGTCAAATCAGCAAAAGTTTCACAACTTTTAGTTTTAACCCAACAGCGCTTCCTAATGGAGGATGTTAAGACTGTGGGATGTTAGACAATCGTGCAACATAAAATACACTAGTTAGTTACCCCACTCCAAAACACAATTTAAATATTTAAATCGACTGAAGCTGTTTCATAAAACACAAAGTGCCTTTTATATGGGGGAGTCTGCCCTGCCCTTTAGAGTTAACCTATAAAATAAATAACATTCAGACCAGAAACATTGGGAGTCATTTAGTTAGTATTGAGTTTATTTACAGCTGAATTCAGTGGGAAAAGCTATATCCCTTGTGCAACGAATTAATGAAATTCATAAACATCTTGCAAAAACAGTATTGATTATAAAATAGTTCATATAAAAAACATTTCAAATGACCACAAATGCATAGGCATTCAAATATATTCTTAAAGCATTACAGACTGGTATATGGAAATATCATCATAACACACCATTTAACATTAATAACATAATATCTGGAGATATCTATATATATATATATATATATATATATATATATATATATATTAGTACCAGTCAAAAGTTTGGGCACACCTACTCATTCAAGGGTTTTTCTTTATTTTTACTATTGTCTACATTGTAGAATAATAGTGAAGACATCAAAACTATGAAATAACACATATGGAATCATGTAGTAACCAAAAAGTGTTGAACAAATAAAGTATATTTTATATTTTTGAATCTTCAAATAGCCACCCTTTGCCTTGATGACAGCTTTGCACACTCTTGTCATTCTCTTAACCAGCTTCACGACGTAGTCACCTGGAATGCATTTCAATTAACAGGTGTGCCTTCTTAAAACGTTAATTTGTGGAATTTCTTTCCTTCTTAATGTGTTTGAGCCAATCAGTTGTGTTGTGACAAGGTAGGGGGGGGGGGGGGGGGGTATACAGAAGATAGCCCTATTTGGTAAAAGACCGAGTCCATATTATGGCATAGAACAGCTCAAATAAGCAAAGAGAAACGACAGTTCATCATTACTTTAAGACATGAAGGTCAGTCAATACGGAAAATTAAGAACTTTGAAAGTTTCTTCAAGTGCAGTCGCAAAAACCATCAAGCGCTATGATGAAACTGGCTCTCATGAGGACCGCGACAGGATTGGAAGACCCAGAGTTAACTCTGCTGAAGAGGATACGTTCATTTGAGTTACCAGCCTCAGAAATTGCAGCCCAAATAAATGCTTCCCAGAGTTCAAGTAACAGACACATCTCAACATCAACTGTTCAGAGGGGACTGTGTGAATCAGGCCTTCATGGTCAAATTACTGCAAAGAAACCACTACTAAAGGACACCAATAATAAGACAAGACCTGCTTGGGCCAAGAAACACCAGCAATGGACATTGGACAAGTGGAAATGTGTCCTTTGGTCTGGAGTCCAAATTGAGATTTTGGGTTCCAACCGCTGTGTCTTTGTGAGACGCGGTGTGGGTGAACGGATGATCTCTGCATGTGTATTTCCCACCGTAAAGCATGGAGGAGGAGGTGTTATTGTGTGGGGGTGCTTTGCTGGTGACACTGTCTGTGATTTATTTAGAATTCAAAGGCACACTTAACCAGCATGGCTACCACAGCATTCTACAGCGATACACCATCCCATCTGGTTTGGGCTTAGTGGGACTATCATTTGTTTTTCAACAGGACAATGACCCAACACACCTCCAGGCTGTGTAAGGGCTATTTTACCAAGAAGGAGAGTGATGCATCAGATGAACTGGCCTCCACAATCCCCCGACCTCAACCCAATTGAAATGGTTTGGGATGACTCGGACCGCAGAGTGAAGGAAAAGCAGCCAACAAGTGGTCAGCATATGTGGGAACTCCTTCAAGACTGTTTGAAAAGCATTCCAGGTGAAGCTGGTTGAGAGAATGCCAAGAGTGTGCAAAGCTGTCATCAAGGCAAAGGGTGGCTATTTTAAGATTCTAAAATATAAAATATACTTTGATTTGTTCAACACTTTTTTGGTTACTACATGATTCCATGTGTTATTTCATAGTTTTGATGTCTTCACTATTATTCTACTATGTAAAAAATAGTAAAAATAAAGAAAAACCCTTGAATGGATAGGTGTGTCGAAACTTTTGACTGGTGGTGTGTGTGTGTATGTATGTATGTATGTATGTATGTATGTATATATATATATATATACATTTTTTTTTTATTCCAGGTTAGCAGTAGCCACTCTCTCATCCAAGACTCTTGAAAAAAAAATAAGATCAACTGATGTGGCAGATGCCAGAAGCAAGCTTAGGCACAACGTCTCATTGCAACAAAAAAAGAAAACTATGCAAAACTATCAAACTACCAAAGCATAAGACTGTCAACAGAGGTGATTGAGTCTAGTTGAGTGAAATGGCATTGGCTGGGGGCTGTACAGTGCTTTTAGCGAGAGGGAGTTAATATAAGGAACCATGCCGGTTTTTGTCAGAGCAGGGGACTGATTGAACCAGTACCTGGGCTTAAGAAGACGATTAATATGACGAGATCTCCTCTGATGCCCAGGATCTTTCAAGTCAAAATCCCACTAACCAGCTCTGCAAGCGTTATGTAAAAATGAGTTCGGTACTCACCAAAATATGGAGTTTCTCAGAGCAACTATTAGGAAAAAAAAAAATCTCATTTTTGACCAAGTGCGCATGCACCAAATCCACCTTCGGCACCTCCAATAAAATGACTCATTACTGCCACGCACAGGTCGGCTGATCCTGCAGCAATACAGACCTTTTTTGGAAGTAAATACCGTGCGTAACGGCAGTAATGACGATAGTTGCTCTGCGAAACGCCATATTGCGGTGAGTACCGAACGTATTTTGACATAACGTTTGCAGAGCTGGTTAATGGGACTTTGACTTGAAGGATCCTAGGCGTTAGAGAAGATCTCGTCATATGCATGGTCTCCTCAAGCCCAGGTACTGGTTCATTGACTCATGAGACATCATAACCACCATTTCAATCTCATGACATCACTGACAAGAGGACGACAATGACAACAGGGCATCATATGCCAAAGCACCAAGAAACTGGGACCCTCTTAAGGCGAGATAGGTGGAAATGCTCTGTTTTGGTGCTTTAATTGGACCAAGGGGGGTTGGCACTAAAGAGGGAGAGGTCTATAGTAGGGTCACTAGCAGCAGGAATAGGGTCAGGTAGAACAGTAAGGTTTAGGGAATAGTTCGGTAGCTTGACCTCCATCTTCTCTGTCTCAGGGCTTCCATAGAGGCTGAGGAGACAGGAGTGTAGTAGACCAGCTACTGGTCGACAGGGGGCGAGGGTAGGCCAACGGGGGTGAGGGTAGGCCGACAAGGGGCGAGGGTTGGTAGGATTCAGGGGAGAGGGCTCCAGGGGGTATCAGAATCCCGATGGCGTCAGGACGTTCATGTCCCGGGGTTTGAGTTTGTGTGGGCGAGTCTGGGGGGGTCTCTTGCCCTCGATGCCGCTGATCTCGATCTTGGGGGGGTTGAACTTGGCAGGGTCGTCCACCATGAGGTTGACCTGGGTCTTGATGCCCTCCATGGTGTTGGACTTCGGCATGCCAAAGTATGACTGTAGTGTGAAGCCTGAGGGAGAGCAGAGGAGACAAGGATGTTCCTCAACTGACAAAAAGGTATTTAGACTTGACAAGGACTATAGTAGGCCGTCATTGTAAATAAGAATTTGTTCTTAACTGACTTGCCTAGTTAAATAAAGGTAAAAAAAAAAAAAAAAAAAAGTTGATCTATTCACACATTCTCTCTTGAGAACACAGTCCACAATGACAGCTCAGCCAACAGTCATAATAATAGAGACTCCTGAGGGACTGATTTCTCACCTGTGTTGGTTTCTGAACCGGGGTCAGTAGAGGACTTCTGTACTACTGGGCGAGAAGTTCCAAAGAAGCTCCACCTCTCCCCTCCGGCTCCTCCTCCCTCGTTGCCTCCCATTTCTGGGCCGAAGTTAGGACTGCCGAGCTCCGGTGTGGCGAGAAACGGTGCCGGACTCAGCCTGTTGAACCAGCTCCTGTGCACCCACACATATTAACAATATTAGAGACATGGAACAGTTGTACTCAAAAGTGCCATCTGAAGTTAATCTTTGCAGCTATTGCTTATTCTGAAAGTGGATAAGTTCTATTCTACTACATACCTGCGGTTGAGTATCGGTGAGGAGTGGGGACTGACGCTGGGGGTAACGGAGGGGGTCCCGGAAGGGGTGCCACAAGGGGTGGATTGAGCTGATGTCGAAAGCCTGTCCTCCTTGAAATCCCCACTTGGCATTCTCAGCTTCTGCAGAGACAAAGAGGTAGAAAGATGCAGCTTAGAGATGTTGTTCAGTAGCTCCCTGTCTGCAGCCCATGAGGGAGCGAGAGGTGTGTGTTCTGCGAGACATTTACAGACAACAACACACATGACAAGACCCAGAGCAGGACTGTGACATTGAGGCGAGTCAAATGATGGCTGACCACAAACACACAAACCAAAGGCCAGTTTGGCCAGTTCCCCCTCCCCTGTTTGTTTCTGCGTCAAACTAAGGGTTATTGGAAACCGTTGACCGCCCTTGACCTCAGAGAGATAGCCACTCAGGGGGCAGTGAACAGAAGATTCTCTGGCGGGCCAACCGGCTACACAAAGTCCACTGGACCGGCACCCAGACGAATGGCCTTTGAATACCCCTCTCTATGCAGGGATCCCATTCCCATCTGTCCAGAATTAGATGCTCGCTGCATGTCAAGTATTTTAATTATGTAAGTGTAGTGTATGTATAACTCAAACGCATCAAGCCAGGGAGTGTTCTTCCTAGGCCAAACAAGAGAGGCAAACCACCTGTCCTGCACCCACCCACCCACCCAGAAAGAAACCAAACCACCGTCAAGACCTGTCACCAAACATCCCTATTCCCCATATTATCCATAGCAGGGTAACCCTGCCAATATGGTTCCCCAGCTAGGTAGCAATATTCACAGAAGTCTCAGAAGACTAGGCAATCTAGGGAGAGTTTCCCATAGAACCATGCCATGCCATAGGCTAGTGAAAAAGCTCCAATCTTACCGTTTTGAGTCTGTGGATTTTGGTTACTACCATCTCTGGAATGATATTCTCAATGTTCATCATCCTCCATTCCTTCTGGGAATATTGGGATGAATATCCCATACCTCTGTGTGTACTATGCTCCTGCATTTTCTCTGTCTGTTCTCCCAGTTGCAATCCTTGCTCTTGAGTTCTGCTCACTGTACTGCTCATCATTCCAATGTGACTGATGCACTGTCTGTCCCCTCTTGGTTTGCTCTGCTCCTAACATTCTATCTATGGGTTTCCTCTAGGGTTTCAGCACCTGACCGAAACATAACCTCTTTGGAACCCTGCCCATCAAATCCAAATCTGGTGTCGACCACAGCTCCAGCCGGTTGGTCAGGGACCACATTTTTATGTCACACCAATGTACCAGTCAAAGACCCGGGAGGGGGGGTAAATCCCTGACCATATAACATTGATAGAGCACACCTTTTAAGTAGGCAGGGCAATCTAGATTTGGTGATTTCTGATATATCATCAAAAATCAAACGCAGCACGTTTTTGGACTCATTCCACTGTTTTTACATGATTAAGTACAATACCATTGGAAATTAATGTTGAAAGTTCAATTTATATTCCTAAAACTTAAGGTGAAAATGTCGCTGCTTCCTGTTGACAAGACATTTTGATAAATAGCCTAATGTGAAAACACAGCTTTAAAGTGTCCAAATCAAAAACCAATATGTAGAAACAGTTTGTGATATATTGAAAACATAAAATGTACCATCTACACTGAGTATACAAAACATTAAGAACACTCCATGACAGACTGACCAGGTGAATCCAGGTGAAAGCTATGATCCCTTATTGATGTCACTTGTTAAATCCACTTCAATCAGTGTAGATGGAGGGGAGGAGACAGGTTATAGAAGGATTTTTAAGTCTTGAGACATGGATTGTGTATGTGTGCCATTCAGATGGTGAATGGGCAAGACAAAATATTTAAGTGCCTTTGAACGTGGTATGGTAATAGGTGCCAGGCGCACTGATGTGTCGAGAACTGAACCGCTGCAGGGTTTATCACGCTTAACAGTTTCCACCACACAAAGGTCACACAGCCAACTTGACAACCGTTGGATCATTGGAGTCAACATGGGCCGGCATCCCTGTGGAATGCTTTAGACACCTTGTCCATGCCCCGACGAATTGAGGCTGTTCTTATAAACTAAATATTAGGAAGGTGTTCCTAATGTTTGGTGTACACATACATGTGCAGCAAAAGTAATCACATTAACGTTGTATGTATGTATGTATGTATATGTGTGTGTGTGTGTGTGTGTGTGTGTGTGTGTGTGTGTGTGTGTGTGTGTATGTGTGTGTGTGTGTGTGTGTGTGTGTGTGTGTGTGTGTGTGTGTGTGTATATATATATTTTTTTACAAGTACCGTGTAGCTCAGTTGGTAGAGCATGGCGCTTGCAACGCCAGGGTTGTGGGTTCGTTTCCCACGGGGGGCCAGTATGAAAATGGATGCACTCACTAACTGTAAGTCGCTCTGGTTAAGAGTGTCTGCTAAATGACTAAAATGTAAACTCCAAGCACCAAAAACCCTGTTGTTTTGACAAGTGGCAATAAATCACTCATTGATTAGGGGGTTACATCTGGTTGTACGCGCTGTTGAAACTAACAACTAACGTTAGCTACAAAAAAAGTATATATTGCCTTGATATTAGACTGGAGTCGAGCGGTCAGACTGGCAGAAACTGGCTCTAGCCAGTTAGCTACAGTAGCTTGTTAGCTAACGTTAGTTCGCTAGCACAAAGTGTCCCTGTTTCTGTTGCCGGTATAACGTTAGCCAGCAGTTAATAATTATTACCTAGTCAGCTATATGGCTATTCATTGTATGTTAAATTACGTTAACGTTAGTTTCAGCTTTTTTGTTGCTGCTAACGTTAGGTAATGTTCACTTACGGTAGGCCTCGGTTTCTTTTACTCCTGTTAGGTTAACTTAGCGAACGTTACAGGCCTCGACATACAGCAGGATATTGTCAATGAAACAAATACATAGATCTGATTAAATACCTTTTCATGAGAAGATTCCTTTGACTTTCCAGTACGATCCACTCTGTCATTTTATCCATTCTTCGTATTTTTTCTTCAGGGTTAATTGACAAATAAAGCACGGAGACGGCGGTACAATGATGTGTAGTTAGCTACAACCCGAAAAAGAATCCCCTTTGTTAGAGTCTGATTGGCTGTTTCAGGAAAATATGGGCGCTCGTGTCATTTTAAGGGTGTATGTAAAGCACAGAAAACTAAACTCTAGAACAGACGTATTCTTATTATACCTCAGTGGAACAGACGGCATTAGCTACGGTTTTACTACTAGTGTCAAAAGAACATAGAACCCCGAAATCGAATCGAGAACCTGGCAACAAATCAGATGATCTAAAAACAAATCCATCACACAAGGAAATAGGCCTGCTTTATTGAGGGTGCCAATTTCTATATCCAGTAGCATTTATCAACTTTATTAGTGCTGTTTGTTTTACACTAAGGGTAAAATGTTTAAAAGCTATTGTCGAGCCATTATATGTGTTGATGAAAATTATTCACCCATATATGTGGATACCATTCACCTATAAAATAACTGAATATAGATTATGAATATAGTACTAAAATGACTACATAACATGAGTTGATATTGATTGAATTCATATATGTAACAGGGTTGGTTATGCTACTACTTGCTACTTTAGATACATTTATTTTAATGTTTTTGTATTCAGATTGGTTGGATGACTTTACATGTCAATATAAACTGGGTAGTTTGGCTCCTGGATGCTGATTGGCTGAAAGCCATGGTATATCAGCCGTGGTATATCAGACTGTATACCACGGGTATGACAAAACTAATTACATTGGTAACTGGTTTATAATAGCAATACGGCACCTCAGGCATTTCTGGTATATGACCAATATACGACGGCGTTGTGCATAAGAACAGCCCTTAGCCATAGTATATTGGCCAAATACCATACCCCCTCGGGCCTTATTTCTTAATTATACCACAGCATTGTTGAATACTTGTTTCTGATAGGCTAGAAGGGCATTCTAGAATGGGCATTAAAACCAGATAATGGACAGTTGGAAAAGATATTGGGACACCTTGCAGTCATGACGCAATATGCCCTTGGCCACTCTTGGAGATTCTATCCAGTCAGATATTTACATGCCAGCGGTAGGTCACATTCTAAAGCAATGTATTCTATTAATGTACATGTGTACAAGTTCAGTATGTACTGTATATATGCATAGGTGCTGCATGCAATAGGGGAAGCTAAGCTTATATGTAACATACAGTATGTGCATATTCAAGAATAGCATGCAATCGGTTGGCTCTATAGAGACATCTTTTGTTTACAAACAAATGGCATGTTCGAGCGATGCGCACCCATCCTCGCATCAAAGTTAACAGTGAGTGAGTGATGACTATGAAAACACACCAGACTGGTGGCTATAGCTAAGCTCAACAAGTATATTATTCTTTTGGCTTTATCTAGCGCTATTTGTGATATTTTACCTTGGCTTGCTAAGTAATCAATCCTCTGATGACATCTGCAATGTTGTAGATGATAACCATCTGCATCTGAAATTGGATGTTGTCGTATTCACTTCAACGTAAACAAGCCCCTTTAATGACGCAGCCTGGAAATGGGTATATGGAATCCAAACCATTGACACTTGTGTACAACATGTTTGGCCAGTCTCATTGGCCGCTGAGGGGGTGGGGTGTTTGCCCATGCCTAATCATACACCACAGAGACAACAACTGCACTGGCAGGCAGACACACATGAGGGTTGCATTCAAGATTTATAAGATACACGTGTTAAAAAAAAAAAGATCCAAGCACACTCTGGATGAAGACAGCAATAGCTATGCATGTTTCTAGTTCTTCAAGATTGATTGCTCTTATATAACACTATGTCCTGCTCCCATCCACCTATGGTATGTCAGGTAGCATGACTCAGAGTCTGCACTGATCAAAGGACTGGAATTACACCAACTATTTACAAACATTAGTTTTTCTCAATCGCGTACAAGCAATTTTTGGTTCTGCGTTGAAACGTATCTATAGCAGAACAGAATTATGAAATACATTTACAAAACTTCTGATCATTTTCTTGCTTTAGTACCTGACTTACATATCTTATACCACCTTTTGCTAAACTTTAAATACAATTGTCATCAGTGAATACAAAATGGTATGTCAGATAGCATGAGGCTGCACTGACATTAACTTATGCATCCCCCCCCCCCCCCCCCGCAACCCTCCAGTCCCTGTCATACTCACAGGCATCGGCCCCTCAGCCAGGCGGTGGAATTGTGTGTCCTCAACAGAGAGGCCCTTGTGGGGGGTGTAGCCAGCTTCTGTCAGCCCTGCCTGGAGCTCAAACCTCTGGAGGCTCTCCTGGGTCTGCTCTGAAGGACCAGGGATGGGTTCACAGTCAGTAGTAGGACATACAAGTCTGGTGTGGTGTACTAGTCAAGCACAGCATCATTGAATGCAATGATATTATGTAATCCATCTGATCCCATTGTGGAATATATCTATCTATGTCATCTCTATCATGTAGAGCAGGGATGGGCAACTTTTATGGGGGTGGGGACAACAACAAAAAAACGGACCCCCCCTCCCCCTATTCTGACATTTCTACAGTATTCCATATAGTATGATAAGAGTGCATCAGGATTTGGGTTGTCTCACTGTGTTAACATGTTAGATGTGTAGATACATTGTAAAGTTGACAGGTGTCTCACTGTGTAAGCATGTTGGATGTGTAGATACATTGTAAAGTTGACAGGTGTCTCACTGTGTTAGCATGTTGGATGTGTAGATACATCATAAAGTTGACAGGTGTCTCACTGTGTTAGCATGTTGGATGTGTAGATACATCATAAAGTTGACAGGTGTCTCACTGTGTTAGCATGTTGGATGTGTAGATACATCATAAAGTTGACAGGTGTCTCACTGTGTTAGCATGTTGGATGTGTAGATACATCATAAAGTTGACAGGTGTCTCACTGTGTTAGCATGTTAGATGTGTAGATACATTGTAAAGTTGACAATGTGAGTTTGTTTGTTTTCCCACTTACTGATCATGAGTGTGTTCATGAGAGAGGAGGCTTTGGCCTTGACCACAGGGACAGGGGGCTTGACCGGTGCGGCAGAGAAGGTCAGTGTCTTCCCAGTCCCACTCTCGTCCTCCTGGACACAACAGGTCAATAGGTTGAATATTAACACCATGCTACGTGCATTGTGGGGGGTCATTCTCCCAGCGACGGTTGATTAAACTCTACAGTCTATAGTGATAACATTTACATTTACGTCATTTAGCAGACGATAACCTTGGCCGGGTTGGACATTGAGCGTTACAGTTGCCGTTACACAAAACGTACTATTACACAACTTATAAACTTCTATACTGTATGTAGTAACAGGATAGATACGGTATTTCTTATCTCAAACAGGCCTAATTAGGAGATACAGTGGGGAAAAAAAGTATTTAGTCAGCCACCAATTGTGCAAGTTCTCCCACTTAAAAAGATGAGAGAGGCCTGTAATTTTCATCATAGGTACACGTCAACTATGACAGACAAAATGAGAAAAATAAATCCAGAAAATCACATTGTAGGATTTTTAATGAATTTATTTGCAAATTATGGTGGAAAATAAGTATTTGGTCAATAACAAAAGTTTCTCAATTCTTTGTTATATACCATTTGTTGGCAATGACACAGGTCAAACGTTTTCTGTAAGTCTTCACAAGGTTTTCACACACTGTTGCTGGTATTTTGGCCCATTCCTCCATGCAGATCTCCTCTAGAGCAGTGATGTTTTGGGGCTGTCGCTGGGCAACACGGACTTTCAACTCCCTCCAAAGATTTTCTATGGGGTTGAGATCTGGAGACTGGCTAGGCCACTCCAGGACCTTGAAATGCTTCTTACGAAGCCACTCCTTCGTTGCCCGGGCCGTGTGTTTGGGATCATTGTCATGCTGAAAGACCCAGCCACGTTTCACCTTCAATGCCCTTGATGATGGAAGGAGGTTTTCACTCAAAATCTCACGATACATGGCCCCATTCATTCTTTCCTTTACACGGATCAGTCGTCCTGGTCCCTTTGCAGAAAAACAGCCCCAAATCATGATGTTTCCACCCCCATGCTTCACAGTAGGTATGGTGTTCTTTGGATGCAACTCAGCATTCTTTGTCCTCCAAACACGACGAGTTGAGTTTTTACCAAAAAGTTCTATTTTGGTTTCATCTGACCATATGACATTCTCCCAATCCTCTTCTGGATCATCCAAATGCACTCTAGCAAACTTCAGACGGGCCTGGACATGTACTGGCTTAAGCAGGGGGACACGTCTGGCACTGCAGGATTTTAGTCCCTGGCGGCGTAGTGTGTTACTGATGGTAGGCTTTGTTACTTTGGTCCCAGCTCTCTGCAGGTCATTCACCAGGTCCCCCCATGTGGTTCTGGGATTTTTGCTCACCGTTCTTGTGATCACTTTGACCCCACGGGGTGAGATCTTGCGTGGAGCCCCAGATCGAGGGAGATTATCAGTGGTCTTGTATGTCTTCCATTTCCTAATAATTGCTCCCACAGTTGATTTCTTCAAACCAAGCTGCTTACCTATTGCAGATTCAGTCTTCCCAGCCTGGTGCAGGTCTACAATTTTGTTTCTGGTGTCCTTTGACAGCTCTTTGGTCTTGGCCATAGTGGAGTTTGGAGTGTGACTGTTTGAGGTTGTGGACAGGTGTCTTTTATACTGATAACAAGTTCAAACAGGTGCCATTTATACAGGTAACGAGTGGAGGACAGAGGAGCCTCTTAAAGAAGAAGTTACAGGTCTGTGAGAGCCAGAAATCTTGCTTGTTTGTAGGTGACCAAATACTTATTTTCCACCATAATTTGCAAATAAATTCATTAAAAATCCTAAAATGTGATTTTCTGGAAAACAAATTCTCAATTTGTCTGTCATAGTTGACGTGTACGTATGATGCAAATTACAGGCCTCTCTCATCTTTTTAAGTGGGAGAACTTGCACAATTGGTGGCTGACTAAATACTTTTTTTCCCCACTGTATATAGGTTCTGTACCTCAGCAATCCTCTTGAACTTCCTCTGTGGGATGAGAGGGTCATTCCATGGGTTGTTGACACACATGTCAGGGGGAGGGGAGTGCATGGGAGCGTCCAGGGCCTCGTCATAGCTAAAGGCTCGTCTGGACATACCAATAGGGGACGAGAACCCCCCAAAGAATCCCCCCGATACACCAGACTCCAGCGCTGGAATTGGAGAGAACGGCAAGAGAAACATTAGAGCAGCATTTAATAACCTGACCTTATTTATTTGATTGCTAGTGGACCATTTGTGTGTCAAATGAAGAAGCACCCCATCACATTGACTCTCTTATGGTGTTGGGAATCATAGAAACGTTACTAGTCATCAATTACATTTGCTTTTATCTTTGATGATATATATCACATGTGATCAATGAAGGAGGATGTTCATCATGCATTACCTGGTATATCACCCTGTCTGGATCCCATTCTGCAGTGGGCTATGGAGGACTAGGTTATCTATGAGAATGAAGGTGACTGTGGAGATCTTGACAGGCTTCCTAACCTGCAGAGGTCAGCATAAAACCCAACATGAATTAATCACGGGGCAGAGATCCAGAGGCCTGGGCCCGTATCCACAAAGCATCTCAGAGTAGGAGTGCTGATCTATGATCAGTATTACCTATTAGATTATAATGAATTAAAATAAAAGGACAGGTGGGGACCTGATCCTAGATCTGCACTCCTACTCTTTGTGGATACGGGTCCTGATACAACAACAAAAAATGCTTTACTAATAATGTTATACAATACAATGTGATGTGTGAATCACTGAGGTTCAACACACTAATAAAGGTTGGGTTTTATGTTTGTTTTGGGAAGAGCACACTGTCCTGGGAGGGGTTCCGACCCCCAAATAGACCCGAGTCTGGTTACAAAAGGTCACTACGTCAGAGAGTCATGTCGCGGGAAGACAAGAAGTCACACACGTCACACTACCATGTTACTGTGTCCACACCAGATGGTGAAGGTGAAGCAATGTTTCAATTTACAGTTGTAGGCTTTTATGAGAGAAGATTAGGCAAGTACCTACACTACCGTTTAAAAGTTTGGGGTCACTTAGAAATGTCCTTGTTTTCGAAAGAAAAGCAACTTTTTTGTCCATTAAAATAACATCAAATTGATCAGAAATACAGTGTAGACATTGTTAATGTTGTAAATGGCTATTGTAGCTGGAAATGGCTGATTTTTAATGGAATATCTACATAGGCGTACAGAGGCCCATTATCAGCAACCATCAGTCCTGTGTTCCAATGGCACGTTGTGTTTGCTAATCCAAGTTTATCATTTTAAAAGGCTAATTGATCATTAGAAAACCCTTTTGCAATTATGTTAGCACAGCTGAAAACTGTTGTGCTGATTAAAGAAGCAATACAACTGGCCTTCTTGAGACTAGTTGAGTATCTGGAGCATCAGCAATTGTGGGTTCGATTACAGGCTCAAAATGGCCAGAAACAAAGAACTTTCTTCAGTCTATTCTTGTTCTGAGAAATGAAGGCTATTCCATGCAAGAAATTGCCAAGAAACTGAAGATCTCGTACAACGCTGTGTACTACTCCCTTCACAGAACAGCGCAAACTGGCTCTAACCAGAATAGAAAGAGGAGTGGGAAGCCCTGGTGCACAACTGAGCAAGAGGACAAATACATTAGTGTCTAGGTCCTCAACTGGCAGCTTCATTAAATAGTACCTGCAAAACACCAGTCTCAACGTCAACAGTGAAGAGGCGACTCCGGGATGCTGACCTTCTAGGCAGAGTTGCAAAGAAAAAGCCATATCTCAGACTGGCCAATAAAAATAAAAGATGAAGATGGGCAAAAGAACACAGACACTGGACAGAGGAAGATTGGAAAAAAGTGTTATGGACAGACGAATCGAAGTTTGAGGTGTTCGGATCACATTTGTGAGACGCAGACCAAATGAAAAGATGCTGGAGGAGTGCTTGATGCCATCTGTCAAGCATGGTGGAGGAAATGTGATGGTCTGGGGGTGCTTTGGTGGTGGTAAAGTGGGAAATTTGTACAAGGTAAAAGGGATGTTAAAGAAGGAAGGCTATCACTCCATTTTGCAACGCCATGCCATACCCTGTGGACGGCGCTTGATTGGTGCCAATTTCCTCCTACAACAAACTATGCAATAACTATTTAGGGAAGAAGCAGTCAGCTGGTATTCTGTCTATAATGGCGTGGCCAGCACAGTCACCGGATCTCAACCCTATTGAGCTGTTGTGGGAGCAGCTTGACCGTATGGTACGTAAGAAGTGCCCATCAAGCCAATCCAACTTGTGGGAGGTGCTTCAGGAAGCATGGGGTGAAATCTCTTCAGATTACCTCAACAAATTGACAACTAGAATGCCAAAGGTCTGCAAGGCTGTTATTGCTGCAAATGGAGGATTCTCTGACGAAAGCAAAGTTTGAAGGACACAATTATTTTTTTTTCAATTAAAAATCATTATTTCTAACCTTGTCAATGACTACATTTCCTATGCATTTTGCTACACTGCTCAAAAAAATAAAGGGAACACTAAAATAACACATCCTAGATCTGAATAAATGAAATAATCTTATTAAATACTTTTTTCTTTACATACAGTGGGGAAAAAAAGTTTTTAGTCAGCCACCAATTGTGCAAGTTCTCCCACTTAAAAAGATGAGAGAGGCCTGTAATTTTCATAATAGTTACACGTCAACTATGACAGACAAAATGAGATTTTTTTTTCCAGAAAATCACATTGTAGGATTTTTTACAATTTTATTTGCAAATTATGGTGGAAAATTAGTATTTGGTCAATAACAAAAGTTTCTCAATACTTTGTTATATACCCTTTGTTGGCAATGACACAGGTCAAACGTTTTCTGTAAGTCTTCACAAGGTTTTCACACACTGTTGCTGGTATTTTGGCCCATTCCTCCATGCAGATCTCCTCTAGAGCAGTGATGTTTTGGGGCTGTCGCTGGGCAACACAGACTTTCAACTCCCTCCAAAGATTTTCTATGGGGTTGAGATCTGGAGACTGGCTAGGCCACTCCAGGACCTTGAAATGCTTCTTACGAAGCCACTCCTTCGTTGCCCGGGCGGTGTGTTTGGGATCATTGTCATGCTGAAAGACCCAGCCACGTTTCATCTTCAATGCCCTTGCTGATGGAAGGAGGTTTTCACTCAAAATCTCACGATACATGGCCCCATTCATTCTTTCCTTTACACGGATCAGTCGTCCTGGTCCCTTTGCAGAAAAACAGCCCCAAAGCATGATGTTTCCACCCCCATGCTTCACAGTAGGTATGGTGTTATTTGGATGCAACTCAGCATTCTTTGTCCTCCAAACACGACGAGTTGAGTTTTTACCAAAAAGTTCTATTTTTGTTTAATCTGACCATATGACATTCTCCCAATCCTCTTCTGGATCATCCAAATGCACTCTAGCAAACTTCAGACGGGCCTGGACATGTACTGGCTTAAGCAGGGGGACACGTCTGGCACTGCAGGATTTTAGTCCCTGGCGACGTAGTGTGTTACTGATGGTAGGCTTTGTTACTTTGGTCCCAGCTCACTGCAGGTCATTCACTAGGTCCCCCCGTGTGGTTCTGGGATTTTTGCTCGCCGTTCTTGTGATCATTTTGACCCCACGGGGTGAGATCTTGCGTGGAGCCCCAGATCGAGGGAGATAATCAGTGGTCTTGTATGTCTTCCATTTCCTAATAATTGCTCCCACAGTTGATTTCTTCAAACCAAGCTGCTTACCTATTGCAGATTCAGTCTTCCCATCCTGGTGCAGATCTACAATTTTGTTTCTGGTGTCCTTTAACAGCTCTTTGGTCTTGGCCATAGTGGAGTTTGGAGTGTGACTGTTTGAGGTTGTGGACAGGTGTCTTTTATACTGATAACAAGTTCAAACAGGTGCCATTAATATAGGTAACGAGTGGAGGACAGAGGAGCCTCTTAAAGAAGAAGTTACAGGTCTGTGAGAGCCAGAAATCTTGCTTATTTGTAGGTGACCAAATACTTATTTTCCACCATAATTTGCAAATAAATTCATTAAAAGTCCTACAATGTGATTTTCTGTATTTTTTCTGTATTTTCTGTATTTTCTGTATACTTTATCCTATCCCAGGTATTCCTTAAAGAGGTGGGGTTTCAAATGTCTCCGGAAGGTGGTGAGTGACTCCGCTGTCCTGGCGTCGTGAGGGAGCTTGTTCCACCATTGGGGTGCCAGAGCAGCGAACAGTTTTGACTGGGCTGAGCGGGAACTATGCTTCCGCAGAGGAAGGGGAGCCAGCAGGCCAGAGGTGGATGAACGCAATGCCCTCGTTTGGGTGTAGGGACTGATCAGAGCCCGAAGGTACAGAGGTGCCGTTCCCCTCACTGCTCCATAGGCAAGCACCATGGTCTTGTAACGGATGCGAGCTTCAACTGGAAGCCAGTGGAGTGTGCGGAGGAGGGGGGTGACGTGAGAGAACTTGGGAAGGTTGAACACCAGACGGGCTGCGGCGTTCTGGATGAGTTGTAGGGGTTTAATGGCACAGGCAGGGAGGCCAGTATGACCTCCCTACAACGCCTGGGCATGCTCCTGATGAGGTGGCGGATGGTCTCCTGAGGGATCTCCTCCCAGACCTGGACTAAAGCATCCGCCAACTCCTGGACAGTCTGTGGTGCAACGTGGCGTTGGTGGATGGAGCGAGACATGATGTCCCAGATGTGCTCAATTGGATTCAGGTCTGGGGAACGGGCGGGCCAGTCCATAGCATCAATGCCTTCCTCTTGCAGGAACTGCTGACACACTCCAGCCACATGAGGTCTTGCATTAGGAGGAACCCAGGGCCAACCGCACCAGCATATGGTCTCACAAGGGGTCTGAGGATCTCATCTCGGTACCTAATGGCAGTCAGGCTACCTCTGGCGAGCACATGGAGGGCTGTGCGGCCCCCCAAAGAAATGCCACCCCACACCATGACTGACCCACCGCCAAACCGGTCATGCTGGAGGATGTTGCAGGCAGCAGAACATTCTCCACGGCGTCTCCAGACTCTGTCACGTCTGTCACGTGCTCAGTGTGAACCTGCTTTCATCTGTGAAGTGCACAGGGCGCCAGTGGCGAATTTGCCAATCTTGGTGTTCTCTGGCAAATGCCAAACGTCCTGCACAGTGTTGGGCTGTAAGCACAACCAACACCTGTGGACGTCGGGCCCTCATACCACCCTCATGGAGTCTGTTTCTGACCGTTTGAGCAGACACATGCACATTTGTGGCCTGCTGGAGGTCATTTTGAAGGGCTCTGGCAGTTCTCGTCCTGCTCCTCCTTGCACAAAGGCGGAGGTAGCAGTCCTGCTGCTTGGTTGTTGCCCTCCTACGGCCTCCTCCATGTCTCCTGATGTACTGGCCTGTCTCCTGGTAGCGCATCCATGCTCTGGACACTACGCTGACAGACACAGT